TGATCAAACCAAGAGAAACCTACAAATAAATGCAATAAAAAATTGCAGAAAAAGACTCTCCCAACTAGTATGTTAATTTCCAAAAAAACCCATATATTTTCTTCCTGCCGCACTCGAAGTCCTATAAATCAAGAAACGCCTATTCTACAATGGAACAAAATTGCACCTGAAATAAGAACTACGGGAAAGAATTAACCGGTGGAGTCGGTAGGTGGAGCCCATCGCCTGCACCACTACATCGGAGAATGCACCCGAATTGAACCCCTCCATCTGGATGTGGTCACAGAGGGAAGCAAGGTTACAATCCAAAGCGCGAAGCTCCCCACTGCTCCGATCATTATCAGGCGGTTGGGACTGGAGGCGGGCCAGCGGCGGAGACGGCGGCTGTTGGGATGGCTGCGTGGACGGCGGCGGGACAATGGCCATCTCGGAGGGCGGAAACCGTGGAGGAGGCAACTCGGCCTAGAGCAAACCGGCGGAGGGGCACCGTCGATCGCAACCAAGCCGCCTGCCGCTGCAACCGCCTAATCTTGTGGAGAGATGGGAAGAGCCATTGAGGCGATCTCTATCTGTGCCTCTGATTAGGGTTTCGAGTGCCGGGGAGGGGAGGGCGGGGTTTTATTTGGATTAGGGAAGAGAGATCGGATTTTCACATGGAGACGGAAAGAAAAGGATGGAGGGTTGCCAAAAGGGTCGAAAAAGAGAAACTTTTGGTCTTATAGTATTGTTGTTGACAATGGATCGTGATCCTAACTTGGAGTGGCTTGAACGCCAAGACTGTGCGAAGATACGGGTGTGAGAGCATTGTGAGAGCATTCATTCTTCCATATGGGAGCTCGTACACATATCTATCCTTACATATCTTGGAAATAGCATATTTACCCAAAACTTTTGATATGTCGTACCAAAAATATTAAGATCTTTCAAGCATGTTCACATGTACCTCTCTAATTAATAATTTTCTAACTACAATTAGTATTAGATAATTGGGATTGCATATGTGGCCCATTCTCACGTTGTCATCAGTCAACTGAGATTTGACAGTGATCCTTTACACCGTGGAGTTGGCACGGTTTGGTTCGATCCCGGGTGCACAAGATTATCCACCTCTAGCAGGTCGGGTTTGAGCTCTGGCTTCTGAGTCAGAGGCTCCCTAGGGCTAATTGCCTGCTCCTCGGGCTCCGATCCCTACACACAGGTCGGGGTCGAGAAGGGGCTCCCAACTTTGACCCCTCCGAAGATCTTGTTAATATTGAGTAGCCAGAGAGGAACCTCTTTTGTCTGACCCCTCGAGGGGTTTTTATCTTCCCCTCAAGGGGACCGATCGTACCTGGGCTATTTATTACCGTCGACGCTGTACTCGATTTAGCACCATCCCAGTCTTTACGGGTCGGGGTGCATTCTACGGGTACCATCCTGCCCTTTGCAGGACGGCGTGGTATTTGGTGAGTGTCGTCCTAGCCTTTTGTTGGGCAACGTTGTACTCACTCGGCACCGTCCCGGCTTTTGTGGGACGACATTGTGCACGGTCGACGTCGTCTCGGCCTTTTGCTGGGCGGCGCTATACTCGGTCGGCGACGTCCCAGCTTTTGCAGGATGACGCCGTGCACGGCTAGTGCCGTCCAGGCCTTTTGTTGGGTGGCACCGTACTTGGCGAGTGCTGTGCTGGGTTGGCACCATCTCAACCTTTGCGGGATGGCGCTATGCCAACCCGACCTTTACGGGTCGGCGCGGTACCCGCTCGGTGTCGTCCCGACCTTTGCAGAATTTATGTTGACTGAGGCGTGTTGTCCTATATGCTGATGTGGTCATGAATAGCGGTAGGTTTCCAAGATGTGTCCTATCATTCTCTCCTCCCCCCCCCCTCACAAAGCGGCTTGCACCAGGCTACTTTACGAGGGCCCGAGCGCAAAGCGCGATTCAGTCTCATAAGTTGGGTCTATCGTGTGGTGGCTGATCGATCGTGGACAGGGCGTGTTGGAAAAGGTCGTCGAGATTATGGCTGGTCGAGCGGCATTGTTCATCGTGGGGCACGGTGATGCAGCTAGAGCCGGTATGCATCTTGATTTGGGTTGACACGATCGGGATTGTCGTGTCCGAGGGGTACAACTTGGATGTGATTAATGCGGCTAAGTAGCATGACTCAGGGGCTGTATGACTAATGCGACCGAGTGGCATGACTCGGGTGCTATATGACTGATGCGACCGAGTGGTGTGACTTGGGCACTGGATGACTGATGAGGCTGAGCGGCATGACTCGGGCACAGCATGACTGATGTGGTCGAGTGGCGTGACTCGGGCACTGTATGACTGATGCGGCCAAGTGGCATGACTCGGGGATTGTATGACTGATGCGATCGAGTGGCATGACTCGGGCACTGTAGGACTGATGCGGGCGAGTGGCATGACTCGAGCGCAGCATGACTGATGCGACCGAGCGACGTGACTCGGGGACTATATGATTGATGCGGCCGAGTGGCTTGACTCGGCCATTGTATGACTGATGCAGTCGAGTGGCACGATTC